TGGATTAAAAGTATTAAGACTCCAATTAATAATGGGTGCCATTCTCCTTKAATATTTATAATTTATGATTTAGTAATGTTAGTGTTATGTCATCTGGTACAAAGATGTTTATAATTGTTTCATCCATAATAGGAAGGTGACTTTTTACTTTTATTATCATAACATATTTTTCTTCTTGTTTGTCAGCATCTTTTTGACTTTATGCAAACTTATCTCTGATTAAGGTTATGAATACAACTTGCTCTTTGTTTTCAATTGCCTTGTATGTTTTCCCATTTTTTAATTTTTCAATCATGCTGAATTCTCTTGCTGTAAAATCAAAACATAGAAAACTATTTTGTTTTGTAATCCAATCTCAATATATTTTTGACAGTAAATGGGAAAACCATTTACATTTATTGGTATATTAGAAATGTTGATTTGTGGTTCTGACACATTGTTTTACGTTATTTCCTCTTAGAACTTTGCACAATTTCTTCACTCTGTGTTTGATTTTCTTTTCTTTTTCTCTATATGCATACTTTAAACATTTATAAAGTTTTTTTTAAATTTTGTTATTGGTACTTTCAAAATTATTCCTTAATAAATTAACTGCATTTCTCTATTTGTATAGACTCTGTAGTTTAGTTCATTAAAATATGCAATGGTAAAAATTTGTTTCTTATTCTTCCCTATCTTCTCCTTCAATACATCATATAATCTTGATTATAGTCTACCTTTGGACGATTAATTGTTGGAATACTTTTTTCTTGCTTTATGTGAGTTTCCTTGATTCCCAACATTTAATTGACTTTATACCCCATCTTCTTTTGTCATTCTCATTCCAATTTTTTAGATGTTTTATTTTTATATTGTACAGATCTGTAAGATTTATATTCCATTTTATTACTTTTATTCTCAGATTCTCAAAACTTAGATTAATAAATAAGTGCATTCAATTTATTAACACAAATAATCAGTTTTTAATCCATGTCTCTTCCATTTGTCTCTTAGAAAGCTTAATACTTATTTCTTTCATTTCATTTCCAGTGATTTCCTGTTGTTGGGTTCATAAGAATAATATTCCCTGAGTTCTTTCATGTAGAAAACTGCTCATATCCATTGTGCTTAAAGGACTATTTAGCAAAAAGAAAAAAAAAAAAAAACCTCTCACTCTGTTTTCTTTGATATCTTGTAGGCTTTGCTCCACTGATAGTGGATGATTCTATTCCACTACTAAATGTTGCAATAAGGAATCTTGAGAACAATATCAACATTTTCCTTTATGTTACTGACAGGTTTGCCTACATGCTCAAAAGTTTCCTTTTTATATCTAAATTCTACTTACTGTACTAGAATAACCTTGGTCTTGTTGATTCTGTGGCGGTTTTCTCTGGTAATCATTTAATCAGTGTTTCCTTTCAAAGGGAAATTTCACATCTTTTATTTTAAGAATGTTTCTTTCTTAATGATATATTTAAGTATTTATTTTTTCCCATCATTTGTTTTTTCCTCTCTAGGGTCTCTGTGTATCTACTGGGTTACTTTTGCACATCTTCTCCATCTTTTATATTCTCTCTAAGCCATTTTTTTCTTTATTTCTATTTTGTTTTGCTAGCCTTTCTCATTTCTGCCCTTTCTTTCCCTGATTATCTCAGTCCCCGGTTTATGTTGTAATTCTTCCATTTTCATTTTTAGTTTGTGATGATTCTAATTTTTCTTTCACTTTTCTCCTGAGATTTGCCAACTATGTGTCATTGGTTCCTCTTGTCTCATCATCTCACACTTGTGCCTTGTGGTGTTCATTCACAGAGGCAATTCATTTCTTGTGCCTTTATGAAAATTTACATAAAATTAGCATATTAAGACAAAATTTTCAACTTCCCTATGAAAACATTGTTATAGCATAATTTTTTCAACAACTGGTTGGTTTTTCCGCTCCTCTGGAGGTCTTATCCTATATTATTTTTATATTTATAATGTATCCATTCTTTTTTTAATTACTCAAAATTAACTCAGTTCAATTTTTCTCCTCTAGGTTCCTGGAAAAAGGAGAGGGAAAAAAAATAGCCTTTTATGGTTTTCAAAGTTTTCCCCTTTGCTGCTGCTATAGGAATAGGTTGCTTAGAGCAAATATTGCTTCCAAGTTTCATTTTTTGTGTATTCCTCCATTACTTTTTACAAACCATATCCATGTGGGCTTTTGTCATCTGACTTACTTAGTCCAGTTTCCACAGCAGTTGCTGTAAAGAAAGTTTCACAAGTGAGAATGAATAGCACCCCTTCAGGAGTAATACTTTTCTTAGTTTTGTGAGATTAACCACAACAGAGTCCCCTTTACATTTCCCATGCTTTTTCCTTTGGCAGCTGCAGCCTAATTGCAGTTCCCGAATCGATTATTGTAACCCAAGAAAATAAATTTTGCACTTCCAAGCAAACTCACTTTTTGAAAGTACATTTTTCTTGGAACATTCTTAGATCACAGGGCCCACTCTCTTTTCTTTTTCATACTTTCTCATCTGAGACTTAATGTTATAATGCATAATTCAGTGTTACACTAATAGATGTGAAAAAGGGGAAAAGAGTACAAAAAGGTAGAGAACTCTGTAGTAGACGTGACAGAAAAGTTTTCATCCAACGTTAGAATCTAAATAGAAATCCAAATCCTCCAGCAGGAGACCTCAAATGTCATTTCATCTTTTATCATTCTCTTCTTGTCTCCAGTGGGCCAAGCAGTTGGAGAGGTAAACTGATATTCAGAAATTTAGAAATTTGTTTTGCTGTGCTTTAAATATCACCCTTTGTCATTGCTTGGATTTAAAGTAATTTAGTTTGCATTCTTTGCTTTACCATTTCACAACCATAAAATGAGACTACATGTATATTGCTGTTTTGATTTCATAATTAAATATGGGAAGAAAAACATTTAAAATTCTCAAAGGCAAATTACCTCACTAAGAGAGAGATACGGAATATCCTAATCAGGCATAAGAAAATTAAGGTTTATTAATTCTTGATTCAAAACCCTGCCTCAGCAATTAATGGTGTTGGTAAAAATTACTACTCACCTATAATAAAGACTTAGAGTGCTGAATGAACTGTAGGTCTCCACCAATCATCTTCTTTCTGTGGTCTTTGAAATAGCAGTTGGTGAATTTACATGGTGCACCTCTGGACATCTGGAGACAGTAGCATATGCCTTTTAAAGGTGAGGTGCATTAGAGGAGTTTAACCATCTGTTGTTCTCATAATGAGGAGGTACTTGTCTCATTAGGATCATTAGATAGATGTGAAACCAAATATTTTCATTAGCAGATATACTCAACAGGAAAGATTCTAACAATTTGGGAATACCCAGACCATCAAATATTATTTTACCACTGAGTTATAACTTTTTTAAAAAAAAATCCATCATGTAGAGGTATACAGGAAGATCTAGAGGGTTTTCATTAACATTAGGGTATGGCTTAGTACATTAAAAACGTTTTTCCTCACTGCATATACAATAGAAAGTGCACTTAATATGAATACATTTGTTATATAAGACATACTTATGTAAAACAAAATACTCAGATTATTTCTTCTAGAGACTAAGATCCTTTAGGCTTTTATAACATTGTCTCTTTAGTAAATGGATGCCTTTTTCATTTTTTTTAAAGCAACTCCCACACAAGAGAAACCAAACAAACTTAGAAATTCTTTCCTTCTTGGTTCTGACAGGGAATAATAGCAAACTTTATGTGTCGAAGAGAGTTTTACTAGACTTCTTTTCCCAGTCATATCTTTTACACACAATAATGTACTTGCTCTCTGCCGACCCCCAACTACCACAGAATATTATGAAACAAAATTATGGTTCATGGAAATCAGTCAATAATACTCTGATTGTTTTTTTATATTTACTGAATGTTTGAATTCATTCCCTCAATCATGAAAGCGTATAGGGCACTGAATATAGTATCTATTTGCATTCGAATCTTTGTAGTTTTTGAACATACACGATTGAGTTACAGTCCAAAGGAGTAAACAAAAATCCACAATAGGAAAGCCAGGCCAATCCAAGGAAAATACTGGGGGCGGAATTGAAGGCTCTGCATTGAAGAGCTGGGGAAATATTTCTATTAAATGAGCTAAATCAATGGTTTTTGTTTGTTTTTCTTGTATATATATATATATATATATATATATATATATATATATAGTCATTCGGTAAAGGGAGGAAGAGAATCAAGACAAGAGGTAATGGACTGTATCTCTGCCCTTCACATTTACAACCTTTCTAGATCGCTAAATACATGGTTCAAGGAAATGAGGTCCAAAGATCCTCCCCACCCCCAATCCCACCCAGGGCTAGCTGGTCAACCCAGTCACCCCTGCCCGGGCAGCAGCTCCACCAGGCTGGCGAAGGTTGCCTGCATTGAGCTCCCTGCTGGCGCCTTCTGGTCGGACAGCCTGTGCCAAAGAGCGCCCAGGAAAACAAATAGCAATGGGAAACTACACAGATGTCATGGTTGCACATGCACGATCACGATCTGACCGCAAAGGGGAGAGAGAGGGTGACAGCCTGAGTTCTTGGTCTGGGAGCCGCTGAAATGGAGCGGGTGGTAGTGGGTGCGCGCACAGGTGCCACAGGCCGGTGGCGCGGAGAGCTATCGTGTTAGCCTGCTGAGCTCAACACCCTCACTAGTGCGTTGAAGCCCTAGCTGCGGAYGAGCCTGGGCAACCCCCAGATTGAGCTATAAGAGGAAGAGCCCAAAGAAAGGGCGCAAAGGGGGGATGCAGGGTATGTGGGGGCGCGAGAAGAGACCCATCCTCTGTTTCCACACCCTGAGCTCATCTGGTGGGAACCTTTGCTGGGCTCTTGTGCGTCTCCTTGTCCCCTCCCAACTCTGAGTGATCATCTCCCCCTTTCCCCTCTCTCATCCTCCTCCCTCCGTCTCTTCCCTCCCTCCCTCCCTCCCTCCCTCCCTCCCTACCGCGTGCCTCCTCCCCTCCCCCTCGCCTCCCTCCTCTCCAGCGGCAGTAGCAGTAGCCGCTTTAGCAGAGACGGAGATGGGCAGAGAGCGCGCGAGGCGCAGCAGCTCCAGATCCTCGGCTCTCCCCGCCCTCAGTTCCCTGCGCCCCCGCTGTCTCTGCCTTGGCGTCCCCCGACTCCAGTTCCGCTCCTAGGACAGCGCCGCCACCGCCGCCCGGCCCTGCCTGCAGCCTGCGCCGCGCAACCCTCGCGTGCGCCCGGGATGGCGCTTTCCCCCCAGGACTGGTGAGTAACCAGGAGAGCTCAGGGTGTCAGACGTCAAGGCTTGGGGTAGACAGAACGTCTTTAGATTTGAGAGGCAACCCAAACCACCTGCTATGATTCCCTAGCCTCCAGGCAGAGGGTCTCAGAGGGGTCTGCTCCGTGGTCCCTGAGGGGATGTTTGGTTTCAACTCCACCTGCCGGCAACAAGAACCTTTTCTCTCCCAGGGACAGCTGCTTGCAGCTCCTGGTCTCACCTCACCTTCCAGCTTCCACACTAACCGCTAAGGTGGATGGCCCCGACCCTAGCGTCACTCCAAACAGGGTCATCGCTGCTCTCACTGTTACCATGTCTTCTCCTTTCGAATTCCCCCTTCTGCCAGCGCCCAAACGCCCCCATGTGCCACCCCTCACTCTTTCTGGTGCTGAGAAATCCTCTTCAAAGTCCGCCCCTGACCCACCTTCTTTCAGTCGGTGCAGAACCTCACTGTCCCGCCGTATTCCTTCTAAGAGTAAATGGTCCTCTCAGTAAATTCTGACCTCATTCCCTCCACACGTTGCTGTCTCTCCAGCTTTTCTGAAAGTGTCCTCAGGAAATTGACACTGACACACTGCGATCCTGGCTTTTGTACGGTTACTGTGTTTCTCAGCACCTGGACTGTTTAGGGAATGATCAAGCATGATAAAGGAAAGACAAGAATAACAAACCTTTTGGGACTAAACTTTTTGTTATTGTTGTTTTATAGCGCACAACTATTCACATGGCATAGATTCGTTCTACTCATTTACAGCTGGATATAAGGAGCAATCTTATTTTAACTATTCCTCCAGAAGGGGTCTTTTCATACTGGGAACAGAGCACCTGACTGGGTGGTGAATGGCCTTCAGCAACAATACTATTAAAAGCTCAGCAACTCTAGAGGATAAGAAGCTTTTTTCTTGAAGGAGAAGTGGGTGGCATCAAACTTACCCTTTAAAATCTTCTTTGAAATAGCAATAAGCCAAAGCCCCTATTTTTCTTTAGGTTTAGTGGCTAAGAGAGGGATATAGCAGGATTAGAAAACATTGTACCAAGGGGCTCCTACAGTATCTGTGTGCTTTGTGTGTGTGTTGTGTAGCATCTTATCCAGACAATATTTCCATGGAAGTTTTCTTAGGGAAGTAGCCCTTTCTTATGAGAACATGTTTACTGTTTTAGTATTTCTAGTTGGGAGAAAATAGGCAGTTGTTTAATGAATGAATATGACCAAAGGGATTGAGGGAATGAGTGAGCAAGAGGGGAGATAATTTCAATTCTAAAATTTGTATTCCAGATTCCTCATGCATTTAAATCTTGAAAACAAACTACTTCATAAGCCACCTTTCTTTAAGTTATGAAATGTATTAATTTCCACACTACATTTTACTCTTTGAACCTTTGGACATGGGTCTTCCGTTCCAAGAATACAGATAAGAGTATTCAGAAATAAACATTAGAAACTTTGAATGGTGCCCTGTTTAAGTTTGTTATATGTGAGTATAATTTCTTGGCATTACTATACACAATTTAAGTGGAATAAGAATTAAATTGTCATTCTGGCTCTTGTAGTTGGTGGAGAGAGAAGACATATGCTTTTTAACCTTAAAGGAACAAGTCCTTGCCTATACCAGAAATAAGAAGGTAAAGTTGAGCAATTACCTTGAGAATTTGTTTAGTGAGGAATGCCTTAAAATCTCATCTTCTCCAATGTCAGGAATTTTATTTTTGTTTTGTTTGAACTCCAACTCTATTGGAGGTTTTATTTCTCTTTTCTTGTATAGTTATAGGCAGAGTGCAGTGATGAGTGGGGGTTTTAAGTATGGACAGCTGCATTGGAAGTCGGGAGAGGCTACATACAATGGCTTTATTATCAGTTTTTTAAGTTTGGAAATTTTGGTTGACTTCATTTCATGTTTGAATAAAAGGAACATTCAAAACTATGTATTCAACTTGCAAAAATACTGCAAATTCTCATATGCATCCATGCCATGTGGATAGTAGGTTAAATTAGGAGCTGAAACCAAAGATCATTTAGTTTATTCTCTAAATACATTAACCCTTCAGGTAACAGTGGAGTGATTACTATGCACATTATGTCCAACAGTAATGAGTCCATATTGCAAAAGGAATGTCCCAACAAAACAAAAGGGAAAGCAAGTAGTAATACTGACAGATCTGTTATTACCCTTAATTGTGATAATGATAATTTTAAGGCAGTGTATTCTAACATAATTCTAACTAATATCAAAATGTTAAAGTAGTCTCAGTATTATATATATTATATATATGAAATTAACAAACCATAAATTATAGCAGGAATTTCTGTTAAGAATACTTGTTGAGGGCTTTAGCTCAGTGGCAGAACACTTATCTAGCATGTGTAAGGCACTGGGTTTGATCCTTAGCACCACATAAAAATAAACAAATAAAGGCATTCTGTCCATTTATAACTACAAAAAAATTTTAAATATCTTTGTTGAGTTGGAATTCAAGATCTTTCTTAATTTAATGTCATTGTCATTAATACTGCTATGCTAAACACAAAAGGAGATTAGTATACCAGTACCAATGGCATATCTTTGAGCATCATTAAGCTATATTTTTAATGCTCATAATTATTTGCCCCCTAGCATAGATCTAAATTAAATGTTTGCTTTGGTAAAAATAAATTGAAAATTGTGCAAATGAAATAATTTACTCCATCAGCAAGTTGCTATTAGTTGAATATTCTGTGTGCAGTAATTTTTCTTGGATGTGTGGTGAAGAGAGAGAGAAAAGGTTGAAATTGAGAAAGTAGCAAGAAGGCAGAGAGGGGAAGAATAAAACTTATGAATACTTGCTTAAATTTTTTAATCAATGAAGGTAACTAAATGTGAGTTCTATTATTTTGATACTTGAAATAACAGCTGTTTTCAACTTGAATTTTAAGAAATGCCTCATTAATTACAATAAAAATGTGACTTTTTTCTTATGAAGTTATTCATTGATTTTATTCAGTACAATTTACTGAGGATCAGAGGTATGGTATTTCCTATAATCTAATTTTCTAATGAAATAAATAAAATTCTGGAAAAAATTAAAAACAACTTTGAAAGAAAGACAGCACATATGCTCACACCTATTATTATGGAATAGATAAAAAGCTAAGTAATTTAGTGTTTTATGAGGGCAAGCTGATTTAGTCAAAGGATAACCATAAAAAATATTTTCATAGATTAATGTATATTGTTCATATCACCTTATTGATGTTGGTGGCTGTATTATATAATCTTATGGATATTTGCATTTTTATTTAAAAAGTCACAAGAGCCTCTTATTAACAATTTTTTTAAAAAAAACTGGAAGAGTTTTTATTATGAAATGTAAATTTTATGAATTCAAAATAGCCCCAAATTTCAATGGTAAGTATCAAGTCATTACATAAAAGTCATAATGTTGCTTTCTATCTTCATTCTGCAAAGGAATATTTAGCAAAATGCATTCTCAAAGAACAAGTATGCAAAATGAACATTTCAAAACTAATCCAATGAATTCAACCAAAGTTTTACAACAGTGCTATCAAAGTTATATGCTCATAAATCAATTTTGATAAAACATTTAAAGTCTGTGATTTCATATATGATTGCATGAAATAACTTATTAATTTAGCTACAACTGGAATGCTTGACATTCTTAATAGAAGCATCTCAGAATTTAGATATTGATTATCGAATATAGAGAACATTCCATATTCATCATTTTACTAAAGACTTGCCCAACATTCTTAAGTATTTAATAGAAAAAAATTAGAATCTAGGTCTCCTGACTTCATCCTGTATCTGCCTTTCATTAAATAAAAATCATCCCTCCCCTTATTTTATTTTAGGAAAGTAATAAGGGAGAAATCAGTTTTAGTATTAGTGAAAAGGATAATGAAATAAAATAAAAAGTCTGGCTTTTTCAGGGACCATTTCAAAGGTCTTATAATCATGATGTGGAAGCTAACCAGTATTCTGTTCACTGTTTCTCACCTTCAGGTTGAAGCTTGGAAAAATTGTACTATAAATTTTTTAATATATTTGCCTAAATTTCATCATAAAATGTTTGCTTGTACAGTACAATTTTTTTATAGTAATGGTATGCTATGGATGCTTCCATTTTTGCTTTTATTTATACTTGAAAAATGTTCCTAAAAACTGATGTTGGTGTTCGTAAGCAAATAGTGGAAATGAATATACAATTTTGTATAATGTCATCTCTATGCTTTATGTCATCACAGAGAAATTTTGTACATCCATGTGTTTTATTTATTCATTCATTCATTCATTCATTCATTCATTTATTTACTTTTATTTTTGTCTCTATAAACTGAGAATAGTTCAGGTAGTCAGCAAAGCTAAATTTCACAAAGTTCCAAGTCCAGAAAAGAAAACTCTGGTATATTAAAATTTTTCTTCACTGATGGTCATTGGGATAGTTAACAGTGAATGATTTAATCCATGAAGAAACATCATAATTACTGGGTAAATTTTCAAATGTATTCTTGGTGATGGTGGCTTTTCAGTGTCACTAAATTTAGGAAGAATAACAGTGATTTTTGTAGATAACTCATTACATCATCTGGACCAACACTGCATTATCTTACTGTGGCTAGATTGATGGGAGTTAGGAGAATCTGTGATCTTTGACTGCTTGGAATTTGGCTCAAAATATGAGGAGGAGGGAACCTATATTAAGTTTTCCTTGTTGAAAGAATTGGCCTTTTTCATCTAGTTTCATATCTATGAACTTATATGAAAGGAGAACTACATCTCTAAGGCTTCTTCCCCTGTCTGCCTTCCTGCTACTTTTTCTATTTCAGCCCTTTCTCTCTCTCTTTGCCACACATCCAAGAAAAATTGCTGCACATAGAATATTCAACTAATAGCAACTTGTTGATGGAGTAATGGCTGCAGCTTGATGGACAGATGACAAAGTATATTTCCATCTTCACTTAAAAGATACTGATGGGCAGGGGCGGTTAGCC